TTGGAATAGCATCATTATTTTGCATATGAAAAACCCGAGGATCAAGCAGGATCAATGGAGTTTAACAGTAGAGACAAGATGAGTAAGATGCAGGGCTTCAGTATGTAATTGCTGTGTAAAGTGCAGTGCATTTGTAGATTGGGAAGCTTCCAAAGAAGTACTGTGCAATCCTGAGGCTCAAGGTTAGAACAGAAGGCAGGTCAAGGTCCGGGTGACTGAGTAGCCCAATCAGTAGACTAGTCATGGGCTCCAGCACTTGTCCCTGGTAGACTGCCTTCGCCATCCCTCCAGCTCTAGCTTGCAGGTTCTAACTCCCAGGTTTCCTACTGTCTTAGCCCTAGCTCTGGCCTTCTGATCTATTTCTTTACCTTGGGGGCAGATGACCTGAATGTTCTAGGACTAGAAACAAAGCTCAGCAGTAGACTGCTTGTGTAGCACATGTAAAACCTTACATTCAGCTCCCTGCAACTTGTGCCAAGGTAGACATCACTGACTGATTCATTAACTGTTTGCCTTAACAGACCTTACAGACATGCTCAGGTCTTTGCTCGGGTCCATGCTAGGGCCTATGCTCTAATTTATGCTCTGGTCTATACTCAGGTCTATACGTCCCCATCAAAGGAATAGAATCAGCTTCAATTTGAGCCTCTGGACCTTCTCCAGTTCTTATGGGTTCCTGATTTTAGCACACACTGACACTCACACCTCAGTTTCCTTTACATTCTGTCATAACCTGACCTATATGCCATGAGCCTGGCTTTCTCCTCCTTAGATCTCCTCACTTAGAGAAAGGTTTAGACTGGCCAAGATAAGCTCAAAGTTACCTTTTTCTCTGGTCTTTAGGGTTCTGTGGCTTTTCCTGGAGAGTTAGACTCTGGGATCAACCAAGGTTCAGATTTATCATTCCATATTATCTTACCCAAAAGGCTCACAGTCCATTCTAGTGTGTCTTGAAAGGCTCTTTATGCCCATGCACTGCCAATCTTGGGATAAACAGAAAAGCAGATTTCTTTCTTTGTTCTGTCCTTGTGTGATGCAGCCAGGTGTCCTTTCTGTTCAGATGCAATCCTAGGGGACACACAGACACTCTGTAGAGGGAAGAACTGGGAGGCATTCATCACTTTAGAGTCAGTGCCTCTTCAACTCTCTGTCTCTCTTCTCTAACTTCTCACTGATAAGGATCATCTGGGTCTATTAAAGCTTATGCTCCAAATGATGCTATGCCCAGAGAGACAGAAAGTTGTTGCATACATGATGACAGGCTTCTATAAGAAGCCTCCAATGGGCCAAGGAGATGTCTTAGGGCTCTAACCACACCAGCTAACATACAAGAGGTACATAGACTAATAATAGACAAAGGAGGCAACTGACCTCTGTGAAGGGAGCCTGGGTCTTCTACCCCAGGCTTCAGTGTCAACCATGTGAGGCAGTCACTTACCCACTGCAAAACAGGGCCTAGGGCTAGGGGTGATGGCTCAGGCAGTAAAATGCTTGCAAACATGAGTTTCTGAGTTCAACCAGGAACTTACATTTTTTTAAGGCAAGATGAAGTGATACTTGTAGTTCCAGCACTGGTGAGGTGGAGGCATGCATATTTGTGGGACTCTCTAGACAGTTGGCATAGTTTAATCAAGTCAGCAAGACACTCTGTCTGAAGAAGTCTACCTCAGTTAGACAGTTCTGAAGAACAACCCAATGATTACTCTGCCCTACACACACACACACACACACACACACACACACACACACACACACACGCACGCACGCACGTTCACCTGTGTCACAGAGACATGTGCCCACATATACAAAAAATTAAATTGAGCCAGCAAGATAGCTCTATGGATAAAAACACTTCCCAATGCTGAGGATCTGAGTTCCATCCCCCAGCATCCACATGGTAGAAAAAATAAATTATATTTTTATTTATTTACTCTCCCTCAAGGAGTACCCTCCTTCCTTGAGGGAGGGTGGTCCTTGGATGCTGTGTTAATCAGTTTCCCGTCACTGTAACAAATACTTGAGATAAAACAACTTAAAAAGAAGAGACTGGGAAGATGGCTCAGTAGGTAAAAAGCTTGCTTTGAAAACACGAGGAGTTTAGTTTAGTGCTCAACACACACATTTTAAAAGCCAGGCACAGTGGCAGAGGATTGTAATCCCAGCACAGTGGGATTTATTCCATCCACAATAAATAAAATGTAAACATAAATAAAATTAATTTTAAAAATGCAACTGTCAGCATTCTGCAGTCTGACCCAACAATTTAGCAGATGTTCCTAGAGTGAAAAGCACATGGAAGGGTCACTCCAGAAGCCATGCTGCCCTCTCCCCAGCGAGCTTCAGAAGCTTTGCTCACAGCCACCCCTGTAGTGCATCCTCTCCTCGGAGAGCAGCCTCTGGCAGGGGTCACTCTTCACTGTACAGCCACTGACCCTGCCCAAGGCCCTCTGACTCTGCTGTGGCTGGATCAGGACAGTTCAGCAAGAGCTCTGGTGTCAGATCTTAGCAAGTCAGTTTCCCGGGGCCAGGAGAGCTCCGGTGCCTCATCAGTCACCAACAGAGAGACTGTCTGATTTGTGGGTCTGTGCAGAGGGAGAGGGCTCTTATTTCTGGTGTCCAGAGCTGTCATAGAATGCCACCTTGGAGCTGCAGGGGCCCTTGGGAATCATCAAAACCCTAAGGCCACTCTCTGGAGGTGAGGACACTGAAGTCAGGAGCCATGAAATGAGGTCACCCAGCTGCTAAGAGTAACACAGCCTTCTGTTCATGGCTTCTCATCAGATGCGTACCCTGCTCCCGGGAGTACAGGATACTCCCTGGGACTTGAATTCCAGAAGATGTTGCCAAATAGAAAGCCACTAAAAATTGTTCCTTGAGGGAGGGTGGTCCTTGGATGCTGTGCTAATCAGTTTCCCGTCACTGTAGCAAGTGCTTGAGATAAAACAACTTAAAAAGAAGAGGCTGGGAAATGGCTCTGTAGATTAAAAGCTTGCTTTGGAAGCATGAGGACTTGAGTTCAATGCTCAGACACACATTAGAAAAGGCAGGCATAGTGATAGAGTGCTATAATCCCAGCACAGTGGAAGGGAAAGGCAGAGACAGGCAGAGTCCTGAAGCTGGCCAACAAGCCTGGCCCAATCAGCAGGTTCCAGGGTCAGCCCAAACTCAAACTATAGGGTGGAGAATGTTTGAGTAACAAATCCAGCATCAAAATCAAACTGTGATCTCCACATATGCATACACAGCTGCACGTGCACCTACACGCCTGCACTCGCGCATGAACGCACATGTGCACGTGCACGCGCACACACACACATTCACACATGTGCACATGCACAAAAAGGAAGGAAGGTTTCCTTTACTGTCAGTTTCAGAGGCTACAGCCCATTGTCAGACAGTTCTGCTGCTTTGGGGGCCTATAATGAGACAGCAACATCATGGTGGGGTCAAATGGAGGAAATGACTTTCCTGGCCACCACCAAAGCATTAAAAATAAGAAGAAGGGTCAAGGTCCCAGAATCCCCTTCAGGATTACACCCATAACAACATAACTTATGCTTACTTGGTTCCACCACCTTCTCATTTATATTACAGGGCAGAGCCAGGCCTTAAATGGGCCTGTTAGGGGGCATTCAAGAGCCAAGTCTGGTATATGTACCATAAATGAGTAAATAAGCCAACATCCACAAGCCTTGTGCCCCATGCTTGGTATTAAGAGTGAAGAGAAGCTGAGTCTTTCCATCAAAGAAGTAACCAAAGATATCAACTACCCACTTAGGGACAGTGTGGTAGCAAGCAGACCTGGTTACTGGTCAATATCTGACCCCATTCCCAGCACTCCAATCACAATGCACATAACTGGGATATAGGTTTGGATCCGGGAGGATTGGCTGGTTGGCTTGTTTGCTTGCTTGTTGGTTTGTAAGGTGGAATCTCATGGAACCTAGGCTAGCTTCCTCCTACATCGGGCTCCTGAGTGCTTAAATTACAGGCATTCCCCTACCATACCCAGTTTATGCAGCACTAGAGAACAAACCCAAGGCTACCAGCTGAACCCCAAACCCTAGAGGTGGCATCTGAATTGGTGGATGTCTGCCTGCAAATGTTTCAAACAGTGCATTACTGATTTGTTTTTGTCATTACTTTGCCTCTTTAGGAGGTAATTTCTCTAAGGTTCATTTTCCCTCCCTGTGGATGGCAGAATGTCAATTATAATTCCTAGTGTTCATACTTGTCTTAAGCAGCAGGGCCCTTTCTGCAAGCCAAGTCTCATTCATTGAGCCTAACACAGGAAGCAGTTAAACTCAGAGGTTTCAAGTTAGAGGTAAGATGGCAGGAGTCTCATATCCCCTCCTTCTTCCTCACCTTTTCTTCACCCCCATTCTTCCTGCACCACAGCTCACAATGTGACCCTAGAAGTCTGGACCATATGGACCAGTCCTAACACTGGGTACCAGAAAGAGAAAGTGCCTGAACAGAACTGTCCATCAGCAAAGGGATGAACAAAGATTAGAAGCCAGGAAAAGATCACTCACCACTTGTAAAAACACGGGCTCTGAACTTTGGCTCTAAAATGTACTGACCTCATGAGCCCAGGTAAATCTCTTAGCATCCCTGTATCTCGGCTTTCTCATCTGTAAAATAGAGATAATAGTGTACTTAACACAATACTTCCCAATAATATTAGCAGTCCTTCCTATTCCAGGGTGGAACTAATCAAATGAGATGGTTCATATTGCCCGCCCGGTCAGTTGTTAATATGGGTGTGCTTGCCCTATAGCCCTTTGGGGCTGAAAGAGGCTGCATGGAATCATTTCTGTCCCCCAGTGCTCTGACAGCTTTGCTAGGCCAAGTGCTCTGGTGTGTGCTCAGGAAGGTGGGGCTGTGGGTGGTGGAGATGGCCATTGGTTGATGCTGGCTCTTTAGTTCAGTGAGTCCCAGATGGTGTCCATGGGGGTGCTGGCCTGTGACACATTGGCAAGCCTCCTTTCCTTGCTCAGTTTACAGAGCCACACCATGCCCAGAAGCCCGAGGCTGCAGGCTGTTCTCCAAGAAGGCAGGCTGCCCTGCCAGGACCTGTGGAAGACAGGCTTGACTGATCTCAGGAACTTACCCTCTGCCTCCAGCCTCCAGAGGTACCTATCAAGCACCTTCCCAAGTTCTTGCTGCTCCTTCAGTCTCTCTCCAAAGCCTGAGAGCCACATGAGCCTGTGCCTGACATAACCCTTCCTTTTTTAGAGTTCCCTTGGAACACAGCAGGAAACCAACAGTCAGTTTATCCATCTGAACAATGGAGGTGCTGATAGTAGATCCCACTAGATCCACATCTGCAGACGGAACTCTTGGCAAAGAGAGAAAATAAACTAACCAGGTACAGACTTTAACCCTTGCTATTATCCCTCAGCAACACTGTATATCACCTGAATTGCATTCAGCACTAAAAGTCATCCACAGATTACTCAAAGCACTGGGGAAGGTTGTGTAGTATTATGCAAATTTCGTGCTATTTTGCATAAGGACAAGAGTATCCTCAGAATTTGGAATCATGGGCCTTCTGGATCCACTCCATAAAAACCAAGGGACTACAGCATCCTGGGAGTTTGGTATTACAGGTATCCTGAATCTAACACCCCTCCCACCATGGATACTAAGGGATGACTATATTGACTTCACAGAATCGTAGTGGGATTTGATGATAATTGCACACAGAAACTGGAATAGTGTATGCCACATAGGAAATGAGTATTAGCCACTTTCTGTGTTCTTGTTATATTTGTATTTGCAAATGTAATAAACCATAGTGCGAACCATACAGGCTTTAGAATTTTCCATCTAGGTTCAAATTTGGCATGGGTGGGTCAGGGTGATAACTCAGTGGTAGAGCACTTGCCTAGGTGAATTTCTAGCACCACAAATACACACACACACACACACACACACACACACACATGCATGCATATGTGCTCACACACTCAATATGAACTTTTTCTACTCGCCTGTATGGTCTTGAGCAAATTGCTTGGTGCATAGAGCCTTTGTCTTCTCAGATGTAAAACAGGCATGTTATTTGTGACTTAGTATTGCTAAAAAGATTAACTTAGGTTAGGCAGCACCTGACACAGGATACGAGGTCACTAAATGGAGGTGATTGCTGTTGTTAATAAGTACTGGGATTGCTGCCAAAGCCAACCAGGATTGAAGCAGGTGCTGACTGCCTCTATTCAGTACTCTCTCCGCTACTCTCTTTCTCTCACCCAATTAAAATTCCTGGATCTGCACTCAGAGAGCCCCGGTTCCTATAAAAGAACTCCACTTATACCAGGAAGTCACAAAATAAATTGTCACCAAGTCTAATGGTCAAATCAAAATCACATGAAGAATGTTTCTCTTCAGTAGACAAAGCTGCTCAAGGATTTGGTTGCTACAGAGAAAGAAACTTGTAGGTTCAGCAACCTGCTGGGACCTACAGACTCTACAGTCGCACACCTCTTCTCTAGCTGAGCAAGGTGGGTGAATCACCTGCCTACCCAAGACTTAATTTCCCCATCTGCAACTATGGGTCTGTCATACAAATGGAATTCATTGAAGTGCGTGGCATCTATCAACTAGGTTATTATAAGTAGTTCAAAAAACAATTAGTAATATTTGACTTCATGACTTCCTTTGTTGCATCAGGCTTTTGTGGGTGGGCAGCTGCCATGGTTGTTTGGTTGGGCTTTTTGGTTTGTTCTTTGAAAGGGGTTGAAGGATTTTCTTTGGGTCTGGTCTTCATCTATGAAAAAGCCTATTTGCTGCTAGGCATAGTGATGCATGCCTCAAATTGCAGCCCCCAGTAGGTGGCAACAGGAGTCTGGGCTGTATGGAGACTCCCTCCTTTCTCTCTCCTCTCATGCCTTCCTAGACACATTTTCAATACAGCCCAGGAATGGAGTTGGGAGTTGAACATAGCTTCAAACTTTTTGTTTGTTTGTTTTAAGACATGGTCTCAAGTAACCCAAGCTGGTCTTGAACTGGTTATGTAGCCAAGAATGACTTTAAACTTCTACTCCTCCTGCCTCCGCTCCTAAGTGCTGGGATTATAGGTATATGCCATCTCACCTGACGTACACTATCCTTCAGGTTGAACCCAGAGCCTTGTGCATACTAAATTCACATCCTATCAACTAAGCTACATCCCTAGGCTCCAAGCCTGGAGTTTGGTTAGCAAGCAATGTGCCATTGTTCATTTCTTGGTTTTGACCACAGCCCCAGAGTCATGTAAGCTGCTATGTTAGGGGACACAGGGTGAGGTGCCTATGGGAACGCCTTGTGCCCAATGTTCAATATTTGTATAAATCTAAAATTACTCTTAAATTAAGAATTTATTTATAAAAAAGGAACAAGGGCCAGAGAGATGGCTCTGTGAGTAAAAGTGCTTGCCATGCAAGCCTGATGGCCTGCGTTCATTCTCCAAAACACACAATGGAAAAAGAAATAAAATAACAGAAAGCGAAAATAAGTGCAAATGATTTTAGAAGGTACTATATACCTAAGAAAACAAAAGTGTGCTTACATATGCACTGAATATTTCTGGAAAAATCCAAAGGAACTGTCAGCTGGAAAGAGGGACAAAAGGTGGTTGAGGTATAAAAGAGGGAGTGCAGGGCATCAGCCAGACATGGAAGAAAGGAAGGACCTGCCTAACTGCAGTGCTTAGTTTGCCTTTGATGTAATGTGTAACAGCTTGCTTAAAGAATAAACCAAGGCAGGGGGAAGAAGATGAGTATTTCACAGGTGTTGGCAAAAGGCAAAGAGGGGCCGGGCATGCAGCTCGATTATTAGAGTGCTATCACACACATAGCCTCAGGTTCAATCTGCAGACCGAATAAAAGGGGCATGGTGGTACACATTGTAAACCCCAGCACTTAGGGTGTGGAGGCAAGAGGACTGGAATTTCAATATTCTCAGCTACATAGTGAGTTCAAAGCCAATCTGGGCTACCTATCTAAATAAATAAATAAATCTCTTAGCTTCCAGGGCCAAGACAAGGTCTTGGTTGTAATCTGTCCCAGACTCTAAGTTCCTCGGGGCGGGGGTGGGGGGTGGCGGGGCAGGGATACTCGGCCTTACTCGTTCCATCTCTTCAAATGGAATGAGTCAAGCTGTCTGAAAGGGTCAAGGCCCTGGGTGATGGCAAAAACATCCCAGTTCTCCACACACAGAATCTTTTCTCAACACCAGCATTGCCTGAGTTCACTGAAAACCCAGAGCAAACCCACAGTTTGGAATAGGCATCCCCGTTGTGTTTGGGAACATGGGAACTCCAAGTGGTGGGAGTATGTCCCAGGTAATTAACCAAGGTCCTCAGTGTTAAAGAGCTGAGATCTGAGGTTGAGCTTCTAGTGTCCAGGCCAATGAGTCTCAGAGACTCTAGGCTAATGTCTCCCTGAAAGATGATAGTGCTGATTTTTGGCAACTGAGCCTGACCCTGTTGAATACAAAGAGGTTTGCTAGAAGCCCTAGCCCAGCTCCTGGTACTGCAATTCTTACCATGACCCATAGAGGGCAGCAGCCAGGACCTAAACACAAATAACAGGCCCACATATCAGGCTTCAAGCAACTAAGATATTATACACCTGGTTTCAAAGGTGAAATGAGAGAAGATTCAATTTAGCAAACAAGACAACCTGCATTTCCTGTATCTGGGAAGAGTATGGAGTAGGGGAGGGGGCTTCATAAGCAAGTCACATTGAGCTCCGGTCCTCGTCTCTCCTTGAACAAGATAGAGCCTCGCTATCCTCCCCTGTGAAATGGAGCTTTTAATACTCAAAATTTCCAAATAATAATGGGCCTGGTTCAGGGAGGACTGTAACTGTAGCTCTGACTACTGCAGGCAAATCAAGGGACATTTTACAAAGACTCCCGTAGAAATGACACCACCACTTGAATGCCGACAACACCAAATCCCCAGGTACAAATGTCATTTGCCTTCTGCCACACAGATCTCAGAATAGTCCTCTGAGTCCTGTATAGTTATTACCACTAAGGAGAATGAACCCAGAAATAGCAAATCACTTGCCAAAGTCACCCAAGAAACCAGCTGCATAGCCAGCACAAAAGCCTGTTTGCTAGCTGCTGGCCAGCTCCCATACCTGCTCTGTTCCGGTGTCACAGACAGTGCCCTGCAACTCTCAAAATTCATACACCAACGAAGCTCTAAGCTGGAAGGGATTAAAATGCAGATCTGGGCTCAGTCTCTACAAACTCTGCTTCGGCAGTGGACGCTGGGGCTTGTATTAACAGACTGCACCTTCCTGTGCTGGACATAGCCATGTCCCCCCTCCCACCCATTTTCTAGAACCTTGTCACTTGTCCCATCAAGAGTTACATATACAGTCTGTGAGTAAGAGCAATTGCTAGGCAAGCGAGAGGGCCTGAGTTCAAATCTCCAGTGTCCATGTAAAAAGCCAGGCATGGCCATACATGTGACTGTTATTGCAGCATTTTTGGGCTGGGGCAGTGGAGGGAGAGACCTAGACACCTGTACCGCTGACCACACCCGTTTTGGGCGTGTGGAATAAAGGGCTGAGAAAAGAAGCATGCTTTCTCTTTTAGGGTTCCTGTCGAGGCTCAGAAAGGTGCACATCAAGTATACACTTACATTTCCTTATCAGGACAAAGATGATGAGAAATGTCATCTCAAGGGAGCCAAGTGGAGAGTGGCAGAGCAGGAAACCCAACATGCCTCTGTGTTCTGGGGGTGTACACGTGTGCACATAAACACATATACACATATATACCACACGCACAGGAGCTTGAGATCACTAGCTCTTAAAAATAGGCAGGCCTAACACCAGATGTGAGACAGCAGGAAGGGGAAAGAGGAGAACCAAGGAGTTCAAGATCATCCTTGGCTACCTAGCAAATTCAAGACCAGCCTGTGTAGCCTTTTATGTTCACTCTTCCAACCAATGTAGTGCAGCCTAGTTGCTGGGGAAAAGGCAGCATGATTGTACCTAGCTATCACAGGACACTCAGGGGTCCCAGTCACCATGCTTTAAGGATGGTCAAGCAACCCCAAGGAGCTTTACAGGGCAGAACTCTGACAGAACTCTCAACAGATGAGCCCTCTGTATTGGTTACTTTCCCCATTGCTGTGACAAAAATGCCTAACAAAATAGCTTAAGGGAGGAAGGTCAGTTTGGGCTCCTGGTTTAAGGGGCTACAGCTCATTATGGTGGGACAGGCCTGGTGACCAGAGCATGTGATGGCTGGTCACATTGCATGCACAGTCAAGAAGCTGAGAGATGAACGTTGGGGTTCCTCTTGCTAGATCCTTCTCATTCAGTCTGGGCCCCCAGGCCGTGAGATGGTGCTCCCATGTTCAGAGTGGGTCTTCCTCCTCTGTTAACCTTTCTGGGTACACTCTCACAGAAGGGCCAGAGGTTTGCCTTTTAGGTGATTCCAAATTCCTCACACCAGCAATCAAGACTGATCATTGCACACCCCAGCTATGTAAAGAAGTCATCTCAAGACTGCATCCTGGGGCTGGAAAGGTGGCTCTATGCTTAAGAGTATGCGCTGATCTCTCCAGATGGCTGGAGCTCAGGTCCCAGCACCCATGTTGGGGGACTCACAACCACCTGTAACTCCAGTTCCGGGGATCAGACATCCTCTCTGGTCTCCAAGGGCATCACACTCATGCAGACATACATATATACACAGACTTTTTTAAAAAAAGTAAAATATTTGACTTAAAAATTAAAGATTTCATAAGAAAATGGTTGCTGCTTTACACCACAGAGACGGTGTCATATGTGGGTAGATAATATG